GAGGATAAGTTTATATTTAGATTTCAAATAGCATTAAAAAAATGACAGAAGAAAGACAATTTTCACAATGAAAACCACTTAAACAAGAAAATCCATCTGAAATTATTTAATTCTTTCAAAGTATCAATATCACTATATAGTTCCTCAAACACATATCCAATTACGATTAAACGTCTGTACTTCTAATAGTATCAGCAGTGATAGAGGATTATCTGTTCCCATAAATGTTTGCAGCCTCAGAAAACCTATAAACAGTCACAATGAATCAGAATCAACTCAATAGTAGTGAATTTTTACTAGTACGGTCACTGAAAAGTATTTGAATTTCATAAATCGAGTAAACTTGATTCAATTAATAATTCTGATTGTAAAGGTTTACTGACACAAATTCTTTAACCTGAAAATATAAACACACATTTATAATGTTACATTGTATACTTATTAGTTCAATAACCAAGCAACTTTGACAATTATATTGGAATGCTTTAAGAGTCTAAATTATTTAATAAAAATACTTAAATCAATTTTCAGTATTTTTTTATAATTTCTTTATTTTTTCTTTATTACAGAGCTTATAACTATTCATTTTGGAATTTGTCACTAATAGGAATTAAATACATTTTTATAAACTATTTTACAAGTTCTCAAATAATGCTTGAGGTAAAAATTTTCAAAAAATAAAACATTATAGATGAAATAATTTAATAAAATCAAGATTAACAATGCACTATACATATAAAAGTCACAATGGCCATTTTAGCATCTTTAATAACAAATTAGGGATCTTTTAGTACATTGTCTCTGATGACTTACACTTTCCAATTACCAATATGAGTATTTTTGAATTCATGAAATATTCCTTTAGAACAATTTTTAATCCTGCATATCATTTTATGACTATACATAACCTATGCAAACTAACCTTGTTACTTTTATGGGTTTTTCTTCCTAGTTTTAATTGAAAACATGCAGGAGCAGAAATCTGAAAATTTCTAAAGGACATGGAAGTACAGAAGTGGAATTGACAAGTCAAAGGATATACTATTTTTAAGAAACTTCTGTGGCATAATCCTACTGGACTTAATTTAAAGCTGATTTAAACCCACTCTGTTTTGTTTTTTCATAAACTATAAATCTTAGTAATTTACTAAGACTTATTAGTTTATTTCTCCTTTTTTAAGTTACTACGATCTACAGTGAAGATTAAAAATGCATGTTTCTGAGACATTTCTTTCAAAGTAATCTACATTAAAAAGGTGCTAGAAGCTGTTTTCACAGTCAGAAACCTGATCCTATAGAAACAGTAAGTCTTGCATATAAGTAAAATCATCTTAACTGAGCTATTTTAACTTGTCTGCATAGCACAAGACAACATATGAAAAGCAAAGGACCTTTAGTAGCCTCAATACTCTAATGTCACGAAAATAAGAATGTAAAGGAGTCCAAAAGTATTGGTACAAGACCATAGAAACCCCGACTAAACCAAAACATCCAAACATGCAGTTGTTTCTTAACATAGCCTATCTCTCAAAACATTCTCTGCAGATGTCAATGCTCTTCGATTTATACCACGTTAAAAGGGCAGGTTTGGCAACCTCAAGGAATTCAAATTATGTCCCCTTTAAACATTCCTTTAGGGATCATTAAGAAGTCTGGAAGGAAAAGATCGGCGATATAGGGTATATGGGATGAGGATATCCAGTAAATTCTAACTGGAGACCTCTTACTACCCTGTAAGAATGAGTAAGTGTATTATAGCAATGGAAGAACAAAATTTTAGGTGACATTTTCCTGACCTTTTTCTCCACAATGCCATTTTCTTAAAACATCTTAACAATAAGTCCCCATTATCATCCTGACAACTTTGAGAAAATCAATCAAGATAACTCTAGAATTCCAACAAATAGTGGCCCAAATCTTCTGATCTGACCTCTCTCTCTTGAATTTGACTGACCACGCAGACCCCTCAGAAGCCACTGTACTGACTGGCCTTTCTTATGAAGGCATCCTGATGAGACTAAGAGCACTATACTACAGATAACTTGTTTTCAGACATCCACTGATTGCAGGGACATATGCAAGCATCATTTCACCTGGAAGGTATACGCATAGGGACTATGGTAGACTGCGCAGATGAGCCACCTTCTACAACAAAGACGCCCAGATAAAACTGATACGGAATGTATGGACTGAACCCTCAGTGGCAATACTTTTTGACTAACCCGCATATCAGTGCATGACCAAACCACCCAGTTATTCAAACAATGCCAAAGCATTCTGCTTTACTTACCAGTTGTATAGCTATCATCAGAACTGTCTTGAGGGAAAATGTCCTGTCACACAAATCAAATAAGTCTTCCAAACTAGGTCCCAGCAGTTCGAGCACCATGGCATTGTATTTACCACAAGGGCCAAAATAGTAAACTTGAGGTATACCATCTAAGAGAAAAGAAAAGGTCATAAAATAATTTTATCAACTTAAATACCAAACTTTCCTTCCCAGGAAAATAGTTTTAAGACTATAGTTTTTAAACAACAGTAGGATTATTGTTTCCTTAAAAATAATAAACTTGTAACGAAACCTCCCTCCTTACATCTTACTCCTGATGTTCACATTGCACTCTGAGTACATGAATATCACAGCACTTACTGAATTACATTATACCAGTGTTTCATTGCTTGTCTTACCACTTTACTATAGAAATCAACTCGGTTTTTTAAGCACTGTATTTCCATGGCCTAGAGAAATGCCTAGTATAGAAGACACTGTTTCATTGAAGAAGGAATCATTAATATCTTTAGCCTTGTGTCCAACCATTGAATGTAGGCAAAAAAAATGGAATTTTGCCCTCCAAATTAGGATAATGTTATATGGCAAAGGTGGTATAATTAAGGCCCTATCAGTTGATGTGTATACCTTAAACTGAAAGAATTTAAGAAAAAATTCAAACCTCAACTTGGTATACTGAAACTATTGAATGATACTGGAAACATCAAAAGAAGAAGGAAATAACACACAGTGTCGCTGTTCAAAAGGAACTAGTTGGCATTCAACCATTTCAAGAGGTAGCAATATGAACAAGATCCATTTTTACTAAAGGAGAACATTTCAGCTGCACTGAAAGCATTAACCAAAAACAAGGCTCCAAGAATTGATGGAATACCAAATGAAATGTTTCAACAGCTGATGAAGCACTGGAAACACTCACACATCTATGCCAGGCAATTTGGAAGACAGCTACTTGGCCAACTGACTGGAAAAGATGCATATTTGTACTCATTTCAAAGAAAGGTGACCCAATAAAATGCTAAAATTTTAGAACAATTATCACTGATATCACATGCAAGTAAAATTTTTGCTGACAACCATGTGAAAAGGGTTGCAGTAGTACATTTACAGGGAGCGGCCACATGTTCAGGCCTGATTCAGAAGAGGACATGGACCAAAAGCTATCATTGCTAGTGTCAAAAGGATCTTGCCTCAAAGCAGAGAATACCAAAAAGATGTTTTGTTGTGTTTTATTGACAATGTCAGGGCATATGACTGTGGATCATAGCCAACTGTATTCCCTTAAGAAGAATGGGAATACTAGAATACTTAATTGTACTCATGAAGAACCTATACATGGATCAAGAGGCAGTTATGTGAGCAGAACAAAGGAATACTGCCTGGTTTAAAATCAGCTGAGCAAATAACCAGAGAAGACGGATTACATGAAGAAGAATGTGGTATCAGGAATGGAAGAAGGCTTATAACAAATTGTGATATGCAGATGACAAAACCATGCTTGCTAAAAGGGAAGACAACTCGAAGCATTTGTTGATGAAGGATTGCAGCCTTCACTATGGATTACACTCAATATAAGACCAAAATCCTCACGACTGGAACAACTGGCGGGGGCTGTGATGGTGGTTAGGGGCCATCTAGTTAGTTCTGACCCATCAAGAACCTATGTACAACAGAATGAAACACCACCCGGTCCAGTTGTTCATATGCTTGAGCTCACTGTTGTAGGAAGTACTGTGTCAATCCATTTCCTGAATGCCTTCCTCCTTCTTGCTGCTCCTCCACTTTACCATACATGATGTCCTTCTCCAGTAAGTGGTCTCTCCTGACATGCCCAAAATATGTAAGACAAAGTCTCGCCATCCTTGCCTCCAAGAAGTCTCTAGTTATACTATCCAAGAGAGATCAGTTTGGCCTTTTAGCACCTCATAGTATTTTCAATATTCTTTTCCAGCACCCAATTAAAATGCATCGATTTTTCTTCTGCCTTCTCTATATTTAATGTCCAACTTTCATATCCATGAAGCAACTGAAAATGACCTGGTTTTTGTCAAATGTACTTTAGCCCTCAAAGTAACATCCTTGCTTTTCAATACTTTAAAGAGGTCGTGTGCAGCATATTTCCCCAATGCAACTTTTCTGTTGATCTCTTGAATGCTGTTTCCATGAGCATTGAATGTGAATCCAAGTAAGATAAAATCCTTGACAACATCAACCTTTGCTCCATTTATTATGATATTACATACTGGTCAGGTGTGAAGATTTTGATCCACTTTATATGGAGTACGAATCTGAAATCAATGTGCATGGAGCAATTCACTGGGTAAATCTGCTGCATCAAAAGCAAGGATGTTACTAAGAGGACTAAGATATGTCTGACCCAAGCCATGATATTTTTGATTCATGTGGAAATTGGACAGACTGAAGAAGTGGTGCTGGCAAAGAATACCATTTGACTGCTAAAAGAATAAACAGATGTGTCTTGAGAGAAGTACAGCCATATGTGAAGAGAGTCAAATATGCTTGAGAATTATAATGCTTTAGTCCTATCGGCATGAGGAAGTGAATTCTATCAAGAACTAGTAAGCTTAAAAGAAGTCTCTGAGCTTCAGACACGATCATCGTCCTGGCGTCCCACCTCTAGTTCAGTATGAGGCCCTCTGCAGAGAAATCCAGCTAAGCGGTGCCTGGATTCCTGCTCCAAGAAAACTGAGAGATAATGAAGGCTCCTGTTTTAAGCCACTAGTTAATGATACTTCATTTAAAAGCCATAGAAAACTAATACAACTACAAAATCTGAATCTAAATTAAAAAATCCGAATGCCCAAAACTATTTTAATTTTGTAACTATGAGATTTCTAGTAAACAAAGAGCTAATAGGTGACCAATTTATCTTAAAACTGCAATTATGTATTGATTCATGAGAAAAGGAACTTCTTCCACCTTATTTTTCTCACTTTTACTTCCCAGTGTGTGGTTATTGTTTTTGCAATTTTTATAGAAAAAAATATTTCTAAAATATAACACACATTTACCGTTATTTGTTTTTTTAATAACTAATCTTTAACTGCCTGGCATTTCCTTTCTTTTTTTAATAATTTTATTGGGGGCTCGTACAACTCATCACAATCCATACATACATCCATTGTGTGTGTCAAGCACATTTGTACATTTGTTGCCATCATCATTCTCAAAACATTTGCTTTCTACTTGAGCCATTGGTATCAGCTCCTCATTTTTCCC